GAAAAAACCTGAGCCATACACTCACCCGGGGCCTCATCCGACGCTTATTGCAATTAAGTTAAACCTCGTAGATGGCTCCAGTGGGCCTGGGTTCCACGTATATATTGAGCAGCTGCAGTTTTGGTGAAAATTTTAAATTATGAGCTTAGATTTTTCTTCTCGGGAGCTTATGCATGGAAGCTTGGGCCTTTTTGCCAGTTGAATATTTTGACTTAATGGTCTTTTTTTATAGTCCAAATATCATGCTTTAAATAAAATGAAAAGAATCCCATGTTTTCTATTCAGGAATAAACACTGCTGTTTTGGGGAGCTTTAAATGACCGAGTAATCCAGACTAATAACTGGAAAGTTTGTACTTAGTATCAGAAGTGAGTTCTGATTTCATTCCCTGTAATTTCACTTTTTCATGGGGAACACTTGCTTTGGGATGTTAATGTTGGAGCTGATTATTATTTTTTAAATTTCAATTAATAAGTGGAGCCCCTGCCCTTTGAGAAGCTTTGCAAGGAATTCTTCCCAGGCCAGGAACTTCCAGACGCGGCAGCGCCTGTGTCGGAATTATCGGAATCCTGTGTCGGAGCCGCTGCTCGCCTGGTTGCTCTGTCACACCCTGCTGCTGCCCTTGGTGGAGCCCACGAGGGTCTTTGATGCTCCTCTTGGCAAAACCCCATGTTTTGGGGGCACTTCCCCTTCCCACACTGTCTCAGGCCCCTCTTCACCCTTTGGACAGCGCCCCTCTCCCTTGGGTGTTTCCAGCACACAAACAATAAATGCCCCTTATGCACCAAAGCCGGCTGAGTCGGAATCCAAACCCTTTCATGCACGTTTCTCCTCGAAGTTGGCATTAATATACATTGTACTGCAGCACCGGGGGCTGCTTGGTGCTTTCAGCAGTTCCTCGGTCCCGCGTTGCCCAAGGTCTGTGTTTTACGCCAGGACCGACGCTCCGATTGCTGCCTGTGTAACGTCTCCGTGACGAGCGCGACTGAGAGCAGTAAGTGTCTCTGCAAATGTGCCCTTTGGAGCAAACCCCAGTGTAACAGAATCCCAACGTTTCCAAAGCGCACGGGCCCTGTGCTGTATGCGCTGCCGGTATCATTCTTCAACTCATTTTATTTGTATCCTTAGCTTTATATTCTCTGTTTTTTCCTAGAAAACGGCCGCCAGTTAGCTTGTCAGGCCCGATGGTGATGATCTATGGTGCCTCTAAAAATTTGCACATCGTTTTCCTTGACATGAAATACGGGCTATTTCTCTTGGTGGAGGATATCTGCTCTGGTATTTTTTGTTGTTGTTGGCTGTGCCAGGGAGTGATGATTGAATCTCTCCAAGTTCTTTTATTCTGGAAAAGTAAATGCAGTTGAAAAATCAGCTGGATTTGGTGTTTGTAACAGCTTCAGCTGAGAAACGTTGAGAAGTTCTTCTGCTTCGTTAGGGTTTAATATATTCTTCTGATAAACTACCGAGAGCGCTCGGAGATCTGAGTTACCCTGCGCTAGTTAAAGATGTCAGTCTGTTTTTAAGGGATTTTCTCCCTATTAAAGGGCAAGCGCCTTCACAAGGGACCTGCTGCAAAACCACCCCCGTCTTCTCAGGGCCGCTGGTGACAGTGGCACAAAGCAGCACCCTGGGCTCCAACCTGCCCTGCGCTGCCCTGCCCAAAGGGGAAAGGAAAAGGGGGCAGGAGCCCTGCTCTGAACCAGCGCCTCGTGCTCAAATTCATTAACAAGAAAGTAGGCCAGAAATCAGCGTTTGTGCCTCTCTCAGCACTTCTTTGCAGAGCGTGGAAGAAGGGCTCGCTTTGTAGCTCGGCGCGGTGCCGCTGCGAGCTGCCATTGATATTCAGCAGCTGCGCTGCAGCCGGGCGGCGCTTCCACGCGCCGCGACCCACGGAGAGTGTGAATGACTTGGGAGGATTCGCGTGGATGCTTCCCGGGGTGGGGACAGCAGCTCCTGGTTCAGTGCAGCCTCATATGGTCATGGTTTATATGGTCTCATGGTTTTTATATATATATATATATTTGCAAGTGGTACCAGCCCACCACCAAGGGCTGAAATTTAGTTCACACGTGGTTTCAAATGAGGTTTCTTTTATAAACAGTTTCTACCCCAACTCAAGTCCCTGGCACATTAATCACTGGCTGCAGCACCAGGCCCGAGGTTCCCGTGTCGACTCCAAGGCCCTGGAGGCTGCCGGCTCTCCATGGGACCGAGCCTTTGCAGGGGGCTGCTCTCAAGAGCTGCGGAGCTTTGTGTGGAAGAGAGGAATGGGTGAAAAAAGGAAGGAAGGAGTCTCTAAGAATGCTGGTAAGGGGCCTCCCTGCTTATGGGAGTCAGGTCGGGATTCAGTCTTCCACAACAGGAAGGTCTAACATCTCCTACGACTTGGTGCTAGGGTTTCAGCATGGTGGGTGGCGGGTGCCCTGGTCATCAGTGACTGTCCCATGCCATTTGAGTGGAAATCTCAGCCTGCTGCACCTTGTATTCTTCTTGCACTCATATAAAAGCCAATTCCTTTTATTAACTGCCTTGAAACGCATGAGGAGCTCCCTGGCAGGCGCTGCGGGTACGTCGGAGCGCGGCGGCGGCCGCAGGAGGTGGCTCTGCCACCCGGAATACCAATGACCGCCATAGGGGCCCATTCACTGCCAAGGCCTTGCCGGGCCCAAGGCCTTGCCAGGTCCAAGGCCTCCCTGGGCCCAAGGCCTCGCTGTGCTGAGCAGGGGTTTCTCCCTCGCACGTGAGCAAAGTGAGCACCGGGAAGCCACAAATTCCCTGGCTCCAGCCCAAGCCCGTTACTTGGGGGATGGTTTTGGCCGCTGGAGACGTGTGCTGGCAAAGCGAGGCCTTCCCTGCCCGTTTAGCTAAAACACGTTCTTGCTAGTGAATACGGGGCATAATTGGCCTCGTCACTAACGGGAATAAACAGCTTCTTTGCTGGGCAGGGGCTGGCCTGTCAGGATAAGAAACAGCCTAGAGGTGACTGTTTTTCCTGCTGAAGAAGCCTTGCGAGAAGCAGCTGGGGCACGGAAAAGTGTGTGCACAAATGGCCTTCCTGGGGACATCCCAGCAGCGCTGGAGGCCAGAGCCTCCATAGCGGTGTCCGTTCCCGGCGGGAACTCTGCCTCCCCGGGAGGCCGGAGCTGCAGCACCCCCAGGCCTCGGTGGTGAGGCCGCTTTCCTGGGGAAGGCTGCGCTGGGCACGCACTCGGGAAACCAACCTCTGTTTTCCTCGCACAATGAAAATGCAAATTGGCATCGTCAGCTCTGTATCCAAAAATAAGATTTCAAACCCATTTAACGTTTCACAATGGGCCGGTGGCAACGCCAAGACTTCCCGTTATCTCTCATTATGAGGGAGGTATGCAGAACTCCCTAGTTTATGCTTAGATCTCAGCCCCAGTGAAGGCCAAAGTTTATAACGCACGCATGATTTCCAGTGCATTTCGACTTCAAAGAGCTAGAAAAATCTCAGTGCTTTTGCATTGCATAAAAGCCCTGTGTTCTCACTGCCATTTTACTGATGGGAAAATTGAGACGTGCGACTGAGGAGGCGCTTGTCTCGCAGGGAGGCTCCGCTGGCTGCTGCCCCAAGCGCTCGCTCTGGCCTCAGCAGGGCTGTAGACAAGCCTCAGTTCTGCACACTGTGATCACTAGCAAGAAATGCTCCTTAATTGCTTTGAGTGTTTGAACAGCAAAATGTCACAATTCCACATTTCTTCCAAATGATGTGGATTTTTTTCTGCTCTGAATTCTTTTGGCTTTAAAAATGCAAATAGTTGGTGTTAGTCAATGAAGGAAAGAGCACTTCTGTTTCCTTTTCTCCCCTTTTTTAAATTACTCAGACATAAAAGGAAGGCGTTCTCCTCCTTGGAAAGAAATTGCAAAATTGCTGGAGGAGTTCTACAAATGCAACTACAAACAAACAAACAAGACAAGCTGGAATGAAAGACCTTTCCATCCAACACCCTCCTTCCACGGCAGCTTGTGTGACTTTCTCTTTGGTGACGGGAACCACTGAGAAAACAATTGCTAATACTGTAAGCAAAATGAGTGCCTGGCTATTGCCTGAGCTGCCTTGTCTTTATTTCTCTCCACTCTGTGTGTTTTCTTCAGTTAAAATGAGGAGTGTGGAGGGGACCCTACTGCTGCCACATGGGCTCCTGGGCTGGGAGTTCATTCACAAGGACCAAGTGAGAGCTGCGTGTCGTGAACGCCCCCCGGAATTGCACCGTAATCCGGATCCGGCGGAATGTGATGGGCGATATGATTCATCCATCAAAATCATCTTGCGGAAAATCAGACTTCTGGAGGATTATGCTTTTTATTAAAAGAAAATATAATTAGTGTTCAGTACTTCTTGGCTTTGCCATCAAAGTTTAAGCATTAAGAATGGAAATTAAACTTTTTTTTTTCCCCCTTAATTCAAAAGGGTAGAACTGCAAGGTATAAATTTTGGCTGTTTTTTTATCCCAAAACCAGGCAAAGTCTGCTTTTGTTTCAACACTGTGAACAGGTAGATCAGTGCAAGGATCTCCAGCTTATCCCAGGCTCGCACAGGAGTGTGGTACAAATGGGAAACAGACTCACCAAGGAGCTAGAGCTTCTCACTGGCTCTGACCGAGCCAGGAATAAACCCAATATCCCGCTCCCGCTGCTCTGTAGCCTCACCACACTCTGTGCTTTCTCGCTAAGGCTGCTGTCCTCCCCGTGCACGTGCTCCCGTCGGCACAACCGCAGATCCCCTCCCTCCGCTTCCAGCAGGGTGAGAGTACCAAGTGCAGCAGAGCAGAGTGACATTTGCTCGTGCCCCATGCTGCTGTTGTCAAAGCTCCTCTCTTAGAAAGAAATGAAAGAAAGTAATAATTGTAATTGGATTGGTTCAGTAATGACTTAGTTAATGGAGTGGCAGGGCACATGGTACAATGGTATCCAGACATTTTAAAAAATATGTTTTTTCCAAACGCTGTTTTTTTAAGCAAGGGTGGGTGATGGGGACATTAGTGCTCTGGTTCTGCATCCATACAGGTCTCCCAGGGGTTCTGGGGGAAGCGAGGCAAGGCGATGAGGAGGAGAATAATTCCACAGATGAAGAGCAGGATGAAGGAGGCACAGGCACAGGCGAAAGACCACGAGTAACTGTACTCAATCCAGACTGTCTCCTCACTGTCAATCATCCTTTTCACAGATTGTCTCATGACTTCAACAGAGATGATGATACAGAGACCTGAAGGAAGATGAGAGCACTGGGTTGAACAACCAGCTGTCAATTCTGCATCCTTAATTAACCACTTTATCAGTCTCTTTGCATAGCAAAATTGCAGTGAGCTTCACAGGTGAGTCATTGGCATTAATATTTGAAGAACCAACAATAACAGCTGCTCTCTCTCTACAATCACTCAGGCCATGTAAGTTGACTGGTACCTTCTAGGAAAACTGCAGGCTTGGAGCTCTGCATTTTCCTATGAACTGAGGGCAAGTATTTCAGCACCAAGCTTCTCCTACCTGCAAAGGTGTAGAACATGGAAGCTGGTTTCAGCAGATAGTCACTCTTTTTCCTGAAGGAGAAGAGGATGCAGATTGTGCCGATGATGGCAAAGCCAACGCTAAAGATGGCAATGGCTGCAGCTGAAATGCTGTATTCTGCCAAAACAAAGACCCCAAAAGAGTAAATGGCTGCACATTTTGAACATCAGCTGTTGCACAAGGTCAGACAGAACTAGGTATCTTCTCATTGCTGTAGAGTTATTTAATTCTAAGGCATTATTTCTCTTAGGTAAAAGCAGTTGCAAATATTGGCCACGTGTCTTTTGAATGTAAAGGGTGTGAAAGCAGAGGGAGGGATTTTGTTGTGGGCCCTGCTGAAGGAGCAAGTGGTGCCCACGCTGGCTGGCTGGAGCCCGGGCTGCCTTGGTGGTGTTGCTGGCATTGCTGCGCTCTGTGTTCTTGCCTCTTCTGTCAGCCCACACTCTTCTCTTGGAGTAAATAGGCTGCTCTGGGCTATTTCTGATCTAGATCTGTGTTATAGGAGCTCTTTGAGGCCCCAGCGTGGTGCCAGTGTTGTACCAATCCAGAAAGACAGTTGGAAGCTCCGTTGGGTTCCAAATCAGAGCCACCAAACCCAGACCAAGTAGGAGGCCAGGGGTGAAGTGTTTCTGTAACCTTTCTGTTTTTCTAAAACAATAATTTCCAGTTGTCTGAAAACTCCGCTCCCCAAGGACAGAGGATTAAACCTTCCCTAAAATGCCCTCTCTTTGGATAAGCCTGCCAGGATACGCACTAAGCAATTCACCCAGCGATGTTCACTGAATGGTGGGGAAAGATTGCAAATTGAATAATTCAGACCTTCGTTTACATATTGCATTTGTTTTCAGATTAGTTTAATATTTAACACATGTAGCCATGCGTGAACATCACAGTGCCTGATGATATTTGCCTTTCAAACCATTAAAAAAATATATCTTCTAGGCAAAATCAGGAAGGATCTTTTTGCCGGATACTAATTAGCTCCCATCAACATGGAGCTATTTCTGTGAAAGCATATTACTCTTTCTCCTCTTTGCTTTCCTACCACTATCTTATTATAAATTGCTTAATATTTTTCTCTTTGGTTTTCTTTACTGTGTCTCAGAACTGCCTGAAAGAGTTAGTTTTGATATAAAAACCTTTTGCTGCGGCCTTGGCTTTTTCTTTTGCTTCAGAGAAAAGAAGCTGTTTTCAAATTTCTTCTGACATGGCCAAGAAATCACTGGATACAATTTTAATATCAGATGGATAGATCTAACAGTACATAAATAAACAAAAGCAGGTAGCTTGGATATATGCTCTTTTGCCTATTTAAAATTCACAACCTTTCCTGCCTTGGGAAATTGCTTCTTTAGAAGTCTTGTGCTGCCAGGTTTTCCATCGTTTTTATTTCCAGTGGAAGCAGAGCAGATTGTTTAATATGTGTAATGTAATTGTCAATTCATTTACTCCACTAAAATATGTTGTGTGGCAAACTATAAAGGAATTTGTCCTCAAGGAGAGGGCAAGAAAGAGAGAAAAGCCCATTATATTAGTGCTAAAAAATACTTGGATTTAGCAGGGGCTGATTAGAAATAAGTAATTTGTCTGTAAAAGACTATTTTCAAGATCCATGCTGGGTAAACACTATCTGTGTCTTTACAGAATAACCCTTCCTTCCTGCCACTGATTGCTCTGGTTTTTATGTGAATTTCTTGAAAAATCAATATCAAGCATAACATTCCTAATGGTCTTCCCAGAGTCTCTGTACTTCGTTTCAGGGTCAAGACTCTGCTCGGGGATATGATTTATTTATTTAGATGTTATCAGCGTCCTCTTCCTTCGATGGCAAAAGTTTAGAGTGTAGCAGATAATGCCGATGTTGTGAATGTCATTTTTTCATGATGAAAAGACTTTTTCGGTTTTGATGTGTGCTGGTATTGTTCCATATTTGTGAGACAACTTTGAATGAGGTCACATTTAAGACTGGAGGAAACTCATATATATTATTCTTCCCAGGAAGAATATTTGACCTCTTCTTTGACCTCGTTCAAAGCCCAGCTGACATTTATAACTAGTTGAAATTCCTTCACTGATTTCAGTGGACCTGGGATCGACCCTCATTTTGGGGACTGGAGACCCCTTTGCATGAGGTATTCTGTGCACCCAGCTCATGCAGTGTTAAGAAATGTTTCAGGCTCCATCCTTACCTTTCTGGGTGGTTACTTCAAATATCTCGGAGCTCTCTCCTGGAGTGAAGTGCTTAAAGTAGGAGCAGTTGCTTTCTGCAGAACAAAGCAACATTTGTGAGTAATTTTGCTTTTTTTATTGAAATGTCAGGCTTGAAACACTCTTAATGTACAGGCTGAGGGCATCTTGGTCCATTGCAGATGTCCAGCAAACTCTCCTTTCCAGAATGAAGGTGGCAATGAGGTATCTACAGTCAGCATTTAGGCCCCAGTCTATCCAAGCATCTCATGGGGTGCATTGCCAGGCTGGAAGGATCCAAGAGCTCCTCTTGGAGAGCCTTTCCCACAACACGGGAAACAAACTGGGGCAAAAATAAGGGGTTGTATCACATTAGTCACGCTGTTCTAGCCTGCTAGGGGCATGGAGGGGTTGAGAAATCGTGGGAAATCACTGAGAAACGTGAGCAGGACCTGCGGGTTTGGGGGCAGAGGAGCGGCGCTTGCAGGGCCGGCTATCGGTGGCGCTGGCAAGGTTGGAGCCACCTCTGCTACCTTCTGGAGGCTGCTCCCTCCGAGAGCTTTGCACGCGGATTGCGCTTCTATTTCAGGCATGAATTACAGATAATTTTTCTCATTCTGCCTTGGCTGCTCCTCCGCGGCTGTATTTCCCAGTAATGAGACGCCGCGTGCCCACAGCTGAGTTAGCAGCTCAGCTTGCTGCCTCTCGCAGCTGCCTCTGCCAACCGCTCTGCGTGAGCATCGCCCCATATGGGCCCGCATGGGCCGTGCGGGGCTTGGCTTTGCCAAACGCAGGCTCCAAAAAGGGAGCGTCGAGTGTCCCTGGCCTTCTCCAGCTGCTGTCCCTCACTGCGGGACACTGCGAGGGAAGAAGTATCCTGGGAAAGCTGGCTGCTTGGGGACACGGCGCTGCAGGTCACCGCGTGGAGCACCACAAAGCCCCTGACATTTCCCTCTCAGAGGGAGCATCCAGTCTTTTTCTTCTGGCTGTCAGATGCCTGGCACCAGCTATCAAAAGCTGCAAGGAAAGACTGTGAAAGGAAGGAAAGGCTAATTAAAGCCACCCAAGTCAAGGGCAAATAGGATACCATGCAACCTGACTTCAGCAGTTAGCTGCCATCAGGCCAGGCTATTAAATTAATTTGATAAGATAGTAGAGCCAGATAATGGGAGCCTAATGGAGTTCCTCTATCTGGATGCCAGATAGCAGGGTATTTGTAGAGGGCTTGTACATTGAATAAGGATCATGATTGTGGGCAGGGGGGTAATGAGCGGGGGGAAGCCTCTAGCTGAGTCCCTCAAAGGCACCGCTTGGCCATGGTGGAGTTTTTACTCTGGGGAGTAAAATTAAGCAAGCGAGGGCATGGGTTTAGTGTCAAAAATACATTGGAATTGAAGGTGGAAATAAAGAGCAGGCAGGAGAAATGCTAAAAGTTACCCCTTTAGTTAGGGGTACAAGAACAAGCAGTTGTAAGCTGATCAGGACAGTCTTGAGGCTGGAAATCAGAGGAAAGATGTTTCTCCAGGTCTGCAGAAGCACCAGCAGCACTGCGAGGTGCATCCCTGCATGTCCCCAACGAGATACCGCTTCCAGCTGAGGCGTCGGAGCGCGGTGAGGAAGGGTCTGTGGAGAAGCTATTGATTTTAAGCTTTGGTAGCAGTAGCATTTGCATGCAGCATGTTCCCACTATATATAACCTACTTAATGGAAGGCTGGAAGAGGGTGAGGAGCTGCGGGAACAATTGCTTGGAATTTGGCTGGAATTGTGCTGTCCCAGAGGTGGCACGAGCAGCGCCCTGATTGAGCTATTCTGCTGTGCAGGCGCTTGAGAGGGCACGTTCAGCACCCCTGTCTGCAGCCTGCGCTTCAGCCTGCGGGCACGGGGAAGGTGACCCGCTTGTTGCCATCAGCATCTCCTGATAATGGAGTTAGGGAACTTTTGGGAATCCTTGGGAATACATCTGGGGGACTGAGTATGCTCCATGTCGCAACCTGCCCAGTATCCAGGCTGGGATGTGCTGCTCCAGTGCAAGAACCTTGCTGTGATGCCCCAATGGGGACACGAGCAGGTATCCCCTACAGGGGCTGTGCAGGGTCCCCTGCATGGCCATTAATGGAACCTCTGAGGAAACGATTCCTCCTATGAAAACATTGTCTATTTAAGGAGAGAAATTCTAGTGGCAACCTGTTGGGTTCTTTTGTTTCTCCTGATACATAAATGGTAGATTTTAGAGTTACTTATTCAAGAAGATTTATCTTCTCTCTCCAGAGAGATAGATGATTCTAAAGCAGCATTTTGGGACCCATTAGAGGCAGATTCCTCTGAGACGTTTTTATCTGTTTTTATAAGCTGACTCATGTTGCATTCCCAGGCTCTCTTTTGTCTGCAAGTAGGTGAATGGTGGTTCTGTTCTGGCATCTCCTGACCAGCTCTTTATTATCTCTGCAAATGATTGGGGGAAACATGTTTGAACTCAAACACCTACAAATAAAACTGCAAATGATGAGCCCAAGAGGGCAACACATCCCTGAGTAAGCAGGGCTTCAGCAGCCACAGAACTTTGCCAATAATCTGGTGATAGAGGCTGGTTCGGGGGACCATTGGCTCCTGCGAGATGGGATGAAGCTGAGAGACTTCATCTTGAATTCATTGCTTTGGCTTCTAATTAGTTCTGCAGAGAGAAAAGCATAAGCTGAAAGGACTCCCCAAGGGTGCTGACTGTACAAGGCTGGTGGTCAAACCTGTACTCATAAGCCCCTTGCAGAGACTGACTCATCTGCAGGAGAGGCTGGTTCGGAGTGGTGGCTTAAAGCATAGCTCTTGAAAGATGCGAAAAATGGGGTGATCACATAAGGGAGTTCACTTTTGCAAGGTATTCATGGTGGTAAATGCAGTTACTGCAGGTGAATAAAGCCAGGTTGTTGTTTTGGGTGAAATGATATCTTCTTCTCAGCTTAAAGACACTTTGGTGTTCCCCTAAAATGGGAATATTTGTATCTTAGAACTGAGGGACTTCAAGTCCTTGTGGGGGGCATCATGAATTTAGACAAGAGCCAGTTTGTGTCGCACCACACTTACGAAGTGTCTGTGTTTTAAAATGGACTTTATAGTGGCTGAAAACTTTATGACAGTCTTGGTTTCTCTCCACCCCTAAATGAATAATCTCTGTCGTGATGTCACCTCGTGTGTTAGTGGGCCCAGTCCAGAGGCTCTGAAGTCCTGAAGGCGAGTTTGAACTCAAAGGCCAAGTGTGATTCATCAGACCCTCTCCTGGTCGCCTTCACTTGGAGCACTCCTAACCCATTCCCTTCAAGTCCATGATACATAGATGACTCCTATGAGCAGGGAAATGGGCTAATTCATCTTTCTTCTATTCCCACAGATCCAGTCCCACAGGGAGCCTGAGGGCAGCTACAGCAGCCACAAGATGAAGCAACAACACATGTGCCAGGAGGTAAGGCTGAGTCTCTGGGTGCTATGATGTGGAGTCCTCCAGGAGGAAGGTTAGAGAAGCAGAGATTTGGGGCATGGAAATTTCAAGGGGTGTCAGCCATCATTTACCAACATAGGGTAGAGGTTGGAGTGAGGCTCACTCTTGGTCCTGAGAAGGTTGCTAGCTTTCGTGTGGCATGTTGGATGGTGAGAAAGAGTTGGATGAGGAATGCTCTTAAATTGACTTGTCACCTGTGTTAATCTTGAGGGACAGGACTTGCTACCACATTTAGAGGAGGATTTTTGAAGATTCAAGTAGCAGAGGGGTCTAGACTTTGATTTTCCACTTGGCCAGGGAAAGCCAGAGAAAGAGCTTTGAAACACACAGAGATGGTAGGTCTGAATAATTGAACTTCACAGTAGTCTGGCAGGGTGAGTCTCTTGTATGCATGGGAATGAGACACCCTGCTGATTACACCATTTGCTCTCATTCTTTCCCAATCGGACTTGAGTGGCCTAAATTCAGATCCACCTATTTAACAGGAACAATTTTAGCTGCTTGTGGCGGACACCGGCAACACCTGTGCTACCCAACTTGCAGGCGCACCAGAGCACACTTTGCACGAGGACACCTACATTGGAGTTAAAGATTGGCAGAGATGAAGGACTCTGTTCCACCCCCTAGTAAATGACTCCAATAATCCATTGATCACAGTTAAAAATGTCCCTGTATTAATCTGTACTTGCCCAGTTTTAATGTCACCTCCCTGATATTTTTATTCCTCACAGCAGCATGCCAAACCCTTTTCCAATTTGTCAACAGCCAAGAGTGTTGTTAAATTTTAAACCTCTTTGCCTAAATCACAGGCCTGCTTTGTAGAGTATTAGCCAAGTCATCTTCCACATTTTGCACAGTGCTAAGCTCAAAAACTAATAAATAATATTAACAGTGCCATCTATTTCCTCTAAGGAGTGACTAGTAAATGGTTATTAATGCAGTGATAAATTCTTATGTTTCTTTTCCAGTGATAGCAGTAATGTCTGATTATGTCTCATCATTTTCAGGAAAACTGATGCCCACCTCTTCTCTTTTACTCCATATCTGTGCCTTCACATTTTCTTGACTAATGCAGGTTTCACAACTACAACGTTTCCTGACTGATGTTTTCTGGAAAGTGGGAAATCTGTCTAATGAGAGACCTGTGAAGCCCGCGATCCTGGCTGCCTGGGAGCTTGTTCACCTCACCATGCTGTGTCCCCTGTGCAAGCGAAGTGGGAAGGTTTAATTCTTAAATGGAGGTGAGAGTATAAATCATAAGGTAAAGGTCGTTTGATACCTCACAAGGTTTTGACACACAACGTTTTCCAAATTTAAAAATATCTCCAAATATCACAAAAACATACCAATCTATGATGTTGGCCCTGGTGTGGCTGAGCTGACAGTGGCTTGGTTCAGTATCTCCACAATTACGTGTTCATTTACTGTGCCTGCTAGTCAGGTGGCACAGGGACGTGATTCAGTGTCTGCACAAGCACATGCTGATGTCTGTCAAAGATAGTAGCCACTGTCGTGCTGCCCTGCCTGCAAATCTGCTTTCTGGAGACAGCTGGATATTTATGAGTTTTATATTTATCCTGCAGTTGGTGCAATTTGGGTGTTTATCAACCAATTTCTATTATTTTCCTTTTGTGTGAGTTTTCCTCCATGTGCAAAGAAAGGCTTAGAGTGAGGAATCTCTAAGTGCCTACATGAGAGACATTACGTTAGCAGATCACGCACTCCCAAATTTGACCAGAGGCAGATCTGAACACTGTGAACTAGCTCCTTGCCTCAGAATAAATAAAGATAAAGGATTGCAGTGCTACAGAGCATATGCAGGAAGCTTAGGCAGTAAGGTTTGCACAAGAACTTTTCAAATACGTGTTAACATATATATTTCATTTCAAACAGCGATCCCAACATGAAGGCAATCCTGTTATTTCTGTTCTGGAAAGAAGCCAGTTCCCTATTAGCCTTCTCAAAAAGCCACATAGTTCAGTCACGGATAGAGTATATTAGTACTCGCTGCATGAATGTTGCTGACTTTGCAATCAGCAAATATATAATGAGCTCCTTTTGCCACGGGAATGTAACGGTCTTCCTGGAAACCAGCTCTGATCACTCCTCTGCCACCCTTCCTATTGATTTTGGTGCAATAACTTGCCGTGAAGAAATGTATCCGATTAGGTGGCCCAGGGCTCTCCTTCACTGCGAGGTAAGGAGATGCAGGAAACCAGCGACAAATCACTTCTAACTCCGTTTACAGCATTTCTGGGGTAAGCTGGTAAATCACAGCCCTGCTCTCAGCTCCAAGCAATGACCGCTGGTGAAATAGCCTTGGATAACTTAATCACTGCCACAAGAAAGCTGTTCCCTCACAGCTATCTGGGGCAGGGAGTCCTGCTGGAGATGCAGCCACACGGGGTGGCCCGGTCCTGCAAATCCTCCCTTTGCTGATCGAAGCTGCTGTGGGTTTGCCTGGCTGCCCTGGGACCCTGGGCAAGGTCAGCAAGATACCCTCCATGCAGCCTGTGATTTCCACTATGTCCGGTCCTTTTCCCTGCATTCCCGCCCCTCTCTTGGCTGCGCAGGGGCTAGTGATTTAAATATGGTTAAAAATACATCTGCAGGCACACGTGCACAACCAGAGAACTGAAGGTGGGGGAAGGCAGACGCAGAGCAGAGTGCAGCGCCATGCCAGGTTGAGGGACAGGGGGAAAGACGTGTTTTTTTCTGCCCCGATACCTCCTCGACGCTGCCTGATGGAAATGTCCCATATCCCATGGGTTTGCATGCATGGATGGGGCAAGTGCTGTCACCTACCTCCCGGAAGGCTGATGGGCCCGCAGCCCTTCTCCTTGGCGCTTTGCTCCTGCACATAAATGCGCTTGGTGCAGAGGCGCCAGAGGCCGAAGTGCGCCGCTTCGCACGTGGCATTGTACGTCTCCACCTTGGGGCTCAGCACGGCCCAGTGGTCGGTCACCACGGCGGCGAAGAGCAGGGAAACGCCGACCAAGATGATGGAGAAAGTCAGCCGGATCTTGAGGGGTTTGCTCTCATCCATGCCGCGCCGCTGGGCTCATCTCCGGCCTCCCACGGCCCGCCCGAGCGTCTTCAAATGTCAGCACGGCGGCGGGGCGGCCGCTGGGGCAGCTGCCGGGAGCCGTCAGCGCCGGGAGCGCGCGGTGCCGGCGGGAGCGCGCGCGGGACACCCGCCAGGCTCCACGTTCCCCGGCCATCGCCTTGGGAGTACGCGAGTCGGCGCTACAGCCACTGCGTCGCCTCACAGGCTGCCCGCGTAGAAACAGGCGTGAAGAGAAGGGTTTAACTTGTTGGCTAGGCTAGGGAAAAGAGCTGGGCTGGTAGTAATGCTGAGCCTGAGCTTGGTCGAGTGAGTAGAGGAGTGTATGCCTCAGGGTAAACAGATGGAGTAGGGCTGAGGGCAGGTAGAGTGAGTGGGCCTGAGGGTAGACAGGTTGAAGAGGTCTGAGGGTAAGCAGGAGGAGTAGTTGCCTGGATGCAACCCTGTGCCACATGCTCTAGGTGCCCCTGCTTGGGATTGGACTAGATGATCTCAAGAGGCACATTCCAACCTCAACCATTCAGTGGTTCTGTGATGCTGTGAAAGCAGCTGAAAAGCCAAAAAATCACCCCAAAGATGCATGTGCAGACCTTCGGCTCAAGCTGCCTTTTGCCAGAAGTTGAGAGCAGGACGTGGCTTCAGCACCCACCCAGCTGCAGGGAAATGTTGTTGAAAACAAACTAGCCCTAACTGAAGCAAAGACAAAAAAAGAGTTTTCTACTTTTTAAAGAAAATATTTATTTCTGAGTCAATCTAAATATTTTGTTCAGGCTGACGGAAAGTGTTTTGGTTAGAAGCACTGGCTTGCAGGGTGTGTAAAGTTCAGTATATGAACTGTGGGAAGTATTTATTTCAACGGTTTAAGCAAATCATTTTGCACTTTGAGAACATTGAAACAAAATCATTCAGCATTTCAACCTCTTTTTTATTTTACAGTGGGAGCTACTGACCGAAGCCGATTTGATTTCACGGCTCGTTCTGCTTTTTCCAAAGCTGCCTCAGCTGTGAAGCTTCTGGTTCATCAGTGCATTTCCCTAACTAAAGCTAACCAAAATACTCATCCTCGTTTTGTGAACTGAGAGAAGTCCCTTGTCACGGAGGGCTGGTTCCATGGGGATAGCTCCCTGTCCAGCATGGGCAACCCTGGGGTGTCCGAGAGGTGCAGACCTTGCTTGCCTTTGCCTCCTGTTGCCTCATGCTGATCATTTTGGGAGCATTTTTTTCTTTGGATTTGGTGTTTCATACAAAATACAAGGAGAGGAAGAGTGGTGGGATGTTTCTCCAGATGGCAGGAGAGGAAACCAGGCCCAGCTGCTGCCCTGTGCCGAGATGGCAGTGGAACTACCACAGCATGTGTGGCCGAGGCGGTGGGTCCCAGCCTCACTCCTTGCCTTTGGTACACCCCAAAAATAAATAATACAATAATTTCCTGACAGTGCCAGTGCTGAGGCCATGGCAGAGGAGACATTATGCTGGCAATGTGGAAATGGTGACAGTGGCAGCACATGAGCGTCGAGATGATGGCTTGGAAAATTGTCAGTGGAAATCTGCAAATATCACGTTGTCGTGTCAAGCTAATCGCAGCTCATTTTGAACGCCCCGGTTCGACGTCAAGGTAAAAGTGCAGAGGTGTCAGCTCGCATTAAGGCAGATGATTTGAAGCAATGAGGCGAGGGCAGAAGGGGAGGCTGAGCAATGGGTAAAGTCAATTAAGAAAATAATGATTCAATATAACTGCAACTGCCATGGGTCAAATATCCCGAACTAAGCCCATGACCTCATCCCCAAAGAGTTGTCCCCTACTGGAGCCTGCTTTTTGGACATCTCTCCAGAGATGCTCTTGAGTAAAGGCTAGAAACCACACCTTGAATATCAAGTATAAAAGAGGATCAAATTGAAGCAGCTGAAGAGGTCCCAAGAACAAATGTGCCATTTGGCAGCCACACACTTCAGAAAGGACTCTTGCCTCCAGGAATGAAAAATATCTAAAAAGTCTGTGAGGAAACCGGACCCACAGGCACGGAAATAGCCAGCACGCATTGGCTGCGAGCCCTCACTCAGCCCCTGGCAGAGCACAGTGGGGCTCGCCTGGAGTGAAGGCATGACAGTCCTAAACAACTACTTGCCTGCAAAGGAGATCTGGAGCTGGACTGCTAAAAGGTGCCCTAAGGAGGACCTGGCCAAGAGGCAAAGCCCATACTTCAAAGCCTTTTGTCAAAGGGAGAAGACACCAGCTAGGATCTGCCCAACCAAGCAGAGACCTCTTGGGCCAGCTGAAAGACTTTGGATCAGCCAGGCACCAAAGAGCAGAGCAGCATGCACCCTTGAAGACATGGGTCTACATCAGCTATACTTAGATGTTACTGAACAGATCATAGAATCGTTATGATTGGAAAAGACCGTCAAGATCATCGAGTTCAACCACAGATGAGGTACTTGGGGCTCTTCGGAGCTCATTCACTGATGTGCTGGTCCCTGGCTACTGCTGACTTTGGAGTGTGCACCTCCCTCTCCCAGGCATTTGGGCAGCAGTCACTGGGGATCAGGCACTGGAGTCATGCAGAAACGGTCTAGCCCTGAGTACCGGGTCTCAGTTTCTCGGAGGCATTTGGGCACATCACTTATCACTGCATTGAACAATGCTAGTTAATGAATGTGGATTAGAGACATGACCCCAAATCCCTTTGAGAATCTGGGCTTTGTCTTTTGTCCTGGTGGGAAGAAGAAACTTCCTCACCTCACAAGGGCAATGGGATAGTGTTTGCAAAGCACTTTTGGCTCTGAGGATTAAAGGCACCTCATATGTGCAAATGATGGGAAGACACTGGTGCTCTGGTGGTGTCCACTGTTCTGAGCAAGGGTAATGAGGTTGTCAACTGCCGCAGGCTGAGGAAGGACATCCTAGGGATGGCTATACGTCTACAATAGATGTATGTGGCAGAAGGAGTTTCATTTCAAACAGCTAAAGCTGTCTTTTGAGGCATAAAAATGGGATGGTGTTGCACATAGAGGCTTGCATCTCTGTTTTCTTAACCAAAGCCAAGAGTTCTCATAGAAGCAGAAAAGCCCAAAGCGAACTGACTTTAAAACTGAAAAAGAATGCATTAAAAATGCAATGCCTTCTCTTTTGAAGTAGACTCTTTTTATATTTTACTAGACATCGGTCAATTTTGAGCTGCATCTTGACTTTACTTCCCTGACACTAGAAACTCCACAACTCCTGTGGAGCTCAGCAAGTTGCGCATAGGGAAGTTCAGACATGTTTGCAAGCATGAATACAAAGCAAGCTTTTGGTTCCTGAGAAAGCAACTGCTAATGATCATGTGCTTTAGACTAATTACAGCCTAAAAGGACTGCAGGGGTGGAACTTACTATTTCCTTTTTCTTTTTTTACTGCTGGGTTTTGTGTCTCCTCCAGTGTTGGCAAAGAATCACATCATCTCTTCTCATTCAGGTACATCGGTCTGGGTAAGTTCCTCTGGGTTTTGCTTTGTTCTTCCTAATAATAACCAGGGAACAACTCAAGACAAAAGATAAAGGGAAAATTCATCCTTCCCTCCCTCTCCTCTGAGGGAGGAGAGGCAGAGAGAACCCAAGAGTGTGAGCAAGTTAAAGCTTCAGTGAACATCAGTGCATGATTTAGAGGCTTCCCTGCAGCTGAAAATTCACCTAATCTGAGGTGAGTCATTGTGCCTGTCCTAAAAACATGGCTGGGAGCCTCTGGTCCCTGGGAGAGAAAACATGGGGATATTGCTCTGTGCAAGCTCAGTGGTCCTGTTGGAAGGGCAGACATATCTGCACCACCCAGGTGCTGCTTTCTGCTCTTTGTGGCACAGCTTCAGAATGTTTGGGAACTGCTGGCGAGGATCTGGTCACGCTGCTTGGCTTGGGAATGTGCTATATGGGCTCTGAAGGGCTTGTGTTGCCCTTCTACAACAACAAAATCTACAGGGAATTTTTATCCTATCTTTCAGATTAAAGTGGCCTCCCAAAGTGGCCTGGTAGTCACTACAGTCCCGTCTGTGGCTTGGTGAGTATCTAAGAAATGCAGAAGTAAAGCTGACCTCCAGGGGAGCAGAAAACTAAAGGAAGGAAAATCCCAAACTGCCTGCAGATCTAGAAGAATGCAGTGTATAAACCTCTGCTGAACGTTTCCAGCGGGCCCCCTGCTTCAGCTGGCAAGTAACTGCATTTAAAAATCAATATCACATGAAATATAAACAGAGTATTAATGAGGACCTGTTGGGAAGCAGGGGGGGTTATAATTAGTTGCACTTTAGCAGCTGTGAGAGTGAGACATGCTTATGTTTCACTCCTGCCGAAAACACTAAATGAGGTGTCTCAAGATCAGTTATTACATTCTTTTGTCCTTAGCAGAGTCATTGGCTTGGGTCTGTTGCTCCTAAATTCTACTTTTCTGTATTTTTTCCAGAGCAGAACCAATATTTACCACAATCAGATTAATCAAATTCTGCAATTCTGTTCTTGTAGAACTACATAAAAGGCCATTATCAGGTACATACAAACTAGCCCTGATTACAGGAATTTGTGAGGGGCCAATCTCCTTGGCTTTACATATTTGCACAGGCCTCTAAAGTAATTCTTTTTATGCATTAAAATGGCAAATCAACCATTTTGGCATGGGCAGTCGTTTCTAGGCTGACAAAGAGCAGCAAGATGCTAGACTTGTATCTTCAAATGTCTGTTGTGTCCCTTGCTGGCACGAAGGGAAACTCGTACTGAGCATGTGTTGGGATGTGAAAGGGAATAGCTAATGCAGTTCCATGCAAGGAAAGCCCCCTATGGTCTGCTGAATTCAGGACACTTGTGTTATTTCCTTTATGTGAGATGTCTGTATTTTTAAACTACTTTAGTTCACATTTAGAAGGGGAGCTTGTAATGCAAAATTTGAATCTAAATCTGTTATCAGGTTGGCTCTGAGCAACAGATGCCCTAGGGCACAGCAAAGAGCACCTTCCAAAAGACCCCTAATTCTTGGGCTGAAATCTTTGCTTCACTAAGGACAAGAGAAAAGTGTGTATGTGGGTGAACGTGTGTTTAATGACTCCAGTGGATAACCATAGGGAGATGCAGCCCATTTAATGCCTTTTCTCAGCGTTGGCTCTGCAGCTCTTTGAACTCAGCACCAGGAAAACTTCTTTGGGACAGGCTCGGTCTGTCACTGATTGAACAATTTATCTGCATAAAGCCTTTCCTGGCATACTCTTTTGGTAAGTGGTCTCTTTAATTCTACTGAAGCAAACGGGCTGCTGCTGTAAGCTGAGCTGTTCCGCAGACAGGTGCAGAGCACTCTCCATTCCCTTTTATTTTCAGCACCTCCTATGCTGACTAGCTTTCTTATTCCGAAGGAAATGCCTCATCCTCCTTGCTGGAAGCTTTTCCACTTCCCAAGCAGAAAAGCGTACGGACTCCATCTTCGCTCAAATAAGCTCCCTTTCTGACATATCTCATTTATTCCTGTTCGCAGCAGGGTAGCCACAACTCAAAGGGCCGCTATTTACCCACAGCCTTGCTCAGCAATGGGGGAACAGCCTTTATTTATTTTAGTTCAAGGCCAGGCACACACGCTTTGGGCTGGAGCTTTAAATGGCTTGACTACTGGGTGTAGAGGCATTTAAAAAGATTAATCCCCCGCCTCCCTCCAGACATGCCAATTGATCATATGTACAGAAAGAAGGAGACAGATATAGATACGCATGCATTCTTCATCTTTAAAGAGAATCCAGAGGCTTAGGATATGTGAAGGTACAGTTAAAAGAAGTATTTGAAGAAATATTGTCTCTGATAAATGAATGGTTCAGGATGTTTGAGAATGAAGAGAGGCTCCTGAACTCCTGACTGGTGTTCAGCGCTGTTTGTACAGCTGGGGATTTTATCACTGTGATCAGAGCACACGTTTAGAGAGCTTCCCCAGCAAGGGCAGAGGAGGGAGGCTTTCTTCAGAGGGCGGTGAGCAGGAACAGGGAGAGGAGGATGCTCAATAAAAGTATTTGCATGGAACCTTGCAAGAGGCAGGGAAAGCACAGGCTTGGGGCTAAGACTTCAAAAGTCATTGACTTATTTTTGTTGATGGCGATTTGCAATGCCCTGGGAAACAAGACCCAAACTGTCTCTCACTGGGCACCTAAAAGAGAGGCACATTAAATTAGCAAATATTTCTGAAAAGTCTGTGGCATGTTAGCATGTCACTGCAGCTGCCACTTTGCTTTGCAGTGAATTGAGGAAAGCTCAAATGAGCCTTCCCTTTGTGGGCTGGGTTTATGTTGGAAAAGCTTTCAGAAACTAGATTTTTTTCCCATTGGTTTCCTACCCAAAAGCCTGGAAATGATGTGAAGACAGTTTGTCCTGGAGACTTCCTGGTCTGTGGGCCACCTCAATGGCCCAATATGAGAGAAAATATATTTTCTCTGGTATCCTGGCTTCCAATAATATTCCCAGCTACAGCCAAGATAGGTAGAAAGGTGAAAAACTAAACACAGAAATCTCAGCTGAGAGAATCTGAAAGTTAAAATCAGTATACTTTTTTTACACACACATACACAAAAGACTACATTTAAAATGGTTTATTTAAAAATTAATGATTAAGTACATTATACACACTTGTGATTATACTGGCAGAACTGAAGCACAGTGGAAATAACATTTTAGAACTGCAGACAGAAATGTAACCTCAAGGGACATGGTATATTAGCCCTTGTGGAAATGCGATACATAAAGAAAGAAAAGGAAATATAAAAATAGTTTATTGTTAGAAATATGGGCATTTGAAGTAATTTCTCATTTTACCACTATTCTTTTTAAGAAACCAGGAACAGAGAGCTTACAATATACCTGAAAGCTTGTTTCTCAGAAGATCAAATCTGATTTGATAGCAATTCATTTTAGGTCTGCTATTATAGAAAATATGGTGTTTTATAAGATGATATCAAAAGACTGATTACTGTTCATGATATGATGATATCTGCAGGCCTTATTCAGAAAGTGGGGCTAATTTGTATTAGATGCTGTCCAGGGAGAAACAGAGAGATATCGGGGAACAGAAGATTTTTGTTTTTAACTATCACTGTGTGGTTTCAAAGTCCAAGAATAATCTAATTTATTTCGGACAGACTATCCACAGAGAAAGACACTGTTTATGCTTAGGAATGCAAATTTTTCAGTTTTGTGAGAATCGGAAGTTTTCCACAGGAAAAAGACTGGGTTTTGGAGGTTTTTTTTTTTTTTTCATTGGAAATCTCAAAAGAAACCGCATTTTTTGCTTTGGTTGAACAAAACAGTGCACTTTAATTTGACACAGACTATGACTTATGGAGCTTAAAATCATAGTCTCTCATTCTCTTACAGAAAGATCAAAGTCGAGATCCCTGTTATCTTCCAGTGCTTTTGTTCCCTGTCCAGAGTGTGTGTTGCACCATGAAGAATAGCTCCCTGCTTAAACCCCATTTTTCAAATGCGCCTGTTCAAGAATGAGCAGATACTGTGGCTCACACTGAAGCAGGGCAATGGGTCTGTATCGTGACATATCGTGACACTCAGAGAGCTGGGGAAATCAGCACTGATTCCAGGGGAAGAGGATCAAAAACGAGCTGCACGGTCAGCTGGCGCAGCAGCAGCCTAAAACATCAGTAAGTCGTTTTGTGGATATAAAGGATTTTCCAGACATCCTCACATGCCTCTGCAGGTCTGACCAGTGCTTTACCGAAGCCTCAGACTTTGGCTGGAATCAGATTGTTGCTTTTAAGCACATTCACTGGGAAATGATGATTAAAAGACAAAACCAAAGAGCAAACCAAACCTCACACTGTCACCTTTCAGTTCAACGTACATGAGTTTAAAAGACAGCCTACATCTAACTCCTGGTTTAAAAGGGAATGATTTTATTCTTAATTACAGTAAACACAGATGAGGACTTATTTCTAACTATTAGTTTATTAACACAGTGGGAAACAAATAGTTCTGGGAAATTGCACTTGAAAAATACATTGACTATAATTAGATGTAAATTAATTAGCACTTAGTATGACACACTAATGAGACAGAAGGTTTTTTTCATTGCAAACTTCTACTTCTATCATAGCTAATCAAAGTATTTTAATATTACGAAGTCTCAAAAAGTAGGAAATAATTTATTGTTTCAAAGCATAAAGATTTTTGTAAAAAAACCTTTTGTCAAGAACTTTAATAATTTTAGAACTTTTTTTACGTTGTCCTAGCTGAAAAGCAGGTAAAAAAAAAGTTTTCTTGTCTGCTTCTTGTTTGACTTTTTTTAAAAACCTTGTGTAACACCTTTCTCCGTACTGCCTTGATGTAGGAAGTAGCACGACCTTGTCCATCTTTAAATAATTCCCATCACTCCATCTATTCCAGCTCTCCAAATTCAGAGGTTTGAAAAAGGATCCCAGCAGAGTTTTAACCTGAATGGAAATTCTTGAACAGGGATGAAGGCTCCAGTCCCCTTTCGTTAGACTGCTTGCCAAAATAATGATGTGTCTATCTGCTAGGCTGAAGGCTAAACAGAGCATAAAAGAGACTAGGGGAAGACTGAAAATTGAGAACTGTGTCTTGGTGCTTTTAGAGAGAGAGGCTAAGCAGGATTTGCTTGGGATTTTGTTTCGACTTGTGTTTTGGGATGTTAAGACAGCTCCTGCGGGGTTTCACTGGAGGACTTCGTTCCACTAGCTCAAAGCCTTGTATCCAAAATATCAGAGTCGCTGGCACTGTGGGCATTACAGTACAAATTAAAAAGATTAACGAGGTTTTAAGAATTTGGCTGAGCTCTCCTATCATCAGTGAATCAATCTTTTCAAATCTTTTTTTTTTTTTATTTCCCCTTGTCTTTAGTCTTTTTGTATGAAAGACTTTCCAGGGCAAAGAAAACCTGGATCTGTCCAAAGGAATCCAAAGGAATTAGCTGCTCCTCTCTCATTGCACCTAATTCATCCAGGGGCACCTAATTCTCTTAAGGCTTGCTTGAGTGGTCACTGAAAGCTAAGGGACTCCTATCAGAGTAAATTACCTTTGAATCAGGCCCTTGAGCTTTGAGAAGCCAAGCCGAAGTGCAAAAATAAAAGTAGAAATTTAAAAGAAAAGAAAAATCAGACCTTTATAGAAATGTTATACGGAAGCAAAATGGGTACAAATTAGTTCCCCTCCCTTACATGATGCATAGAGTTTTCTGTGGGCTCTCTGCACATACGTAGATTCATCATTACAAAATAAATTAAATTAGGTTGAACCATCATTTCCATCTAAAAGCAACTATACCTTGCACCATGCGGCACTTATTCATAATAAAAAGAGTTTAATAAATATCTCATAAACGGTGATTTTTTTTGTTTTTGTTCTAGTTTAAAAAATACAAAGTTGTCATCCGTTACGTTAACGTTCCGTTCCCATTGCTGCAGGAAGATTTGCTAGTCCAAACATATTAGCTTTGCGTTTTCTTACACCCATTGCTTACATCTCCCAGTTTCCCTTGGCGTTAGTGTTGCACTTTGTGAAGCAGTAAGGAAAACAGGACGGCATCGCCTGCGCGCGGCGGCTGCACCCGCCCCGGCCACCCCAGCCCAGCTCTGCTTCTCGCTCTCGCTATAAGTAGTCTATAGGGGCCTGCTCCTGACAGCACTCAGCACCTCGCAGGATCAGGCACTAGGGCTAGTCGTAGTGAGAATTCAAGTTTTCTAAATGTTAGGCAAGAAATGATGTTTGCAATATGCTCAAGTCCCACCTGCTTTCGTCCTTCCCCCTTCTAGGTGTTTCAACCACCCTCTTTCCCCCCTTCATCTGCATTGCCTGAGGGACGCCCTACACCCGCTGCCGGAGAGCAGGAGTAGAAGCCTCCCCGAACGCTGCCCCGTCAGGGAGTCTGTGACACGCGGGACATGGCTGTCCCGCGGCTTCAGCGGCACCGGCCAGTTCAGCCGTAATTTTCCTTTCTTCCTCTAAAGAGGCAAAGCTGCTCCCATGTCAGAGGAAAATGGACCACTTGAGGAGTAGTTCATATTCATCCTTGGGCTTCGTTATAAATTAGATTCGCAAGTTTATAGTATGGGATCTCGATTTTAGAAAAGAAAGGCATACAGCAATTCTTCTGTAATCCTTTAAAACACACTGGTGGCAAGTCTTTCGCAGTTTCACTGAGACATTGTACACACTACAAAAGTGCAGGAACATGAACTGCCTTCATCTCGTGACACCAAGAACTGAAAGAAACAAACTCCAAATAGCTTCAAAAAAGCTATGAGCATGTAATATCATTTGTAGGTCCGGAGGATCTCCACTTGCTACTTCAACACATGCCACAATTAAAGAGGTGAGAGGGTATTTTAACATTGCTCCTTCTCTTTCATGAAAGATCCATTACGTTTTGATATTTCTTCAACAAGCACAAGGAAGCAAGGTATTTCAAACGGGTGTCGTTCTCCTGTTGACCATATTGACATGGAGTCCTTCCTTAAATTCCTTCTGAAGGAAGTTATGAACCTGCAGGAAGTTGGCTTCTTGGTCTGCGTTGTAGCTGGCCGCAGTTGTAACCTTCAAAGGCTCTCTGGAAAGGGTGTACATGGAAATTTCATTCATGGGAATGGTACTTGCTATCTTCATGCCAACCGGAGAAATGTCTCTAGATGGGGAAGGTTCTGTAGATCGAGAACTGGATCTGGACCTCCGCCTCCTGTATCTATAACTTGGCATCCTGGCATAAGGAGAACTGGAGGAAGTCTTAAGGAATTCCCTCTTGGTCTTAAACCGCAGCTCTTTGTTCTTCTCAATATAAATGTTCACAGCCAGAACGCCAATGGTTTCAGCCACAATAAAAGACAAGGCTCCAAAATAAAAAGACCAACCATAGTTGTAATGGTTCTTTTTGTCCTCATCTCTCTTGTCACTTGGGTCACCTGCGTTGCTTGATATGTAGACAATGATCCCTATGATATTACTTAGTCCTGGAGAGGGAAACATAGAATCAGTTAAAAGGCTGTGAAGGCAAACGTCAAAACTGTGTTGCTTTTTGAACGTGAATGGTTCATTCCATTTATTTATTCTTTCCTTTAGGTGAAGATTTCATTTATTTATTGAAAAGAAAATAGCAGGCTCACATATGGGCGCCAAGCAGTGTCCTTCTGCACATGGTCGTGGTGGTTCAAGGTTGCCCACAAAGATCCCAAAGGTCTCAGCAGAGCAGGATCTGTTCCCATCTCTTTGTTGCCATTGCGGGAACACAGCAACAAGTGGGAGATCGCTAAAATTGTTAGTGGGATTCTAACATTCAAATAATAATAAAAATACATTTTGAGCTCAGGGCTATGGCTGTTCACCTTGATCAGCATAAGTTCTCTTTTACCCTGATGAATTTTCAGATGAATGCAGCATGCTTAAATCTGGGCTTCAGGGAACGATATTAACAACATGGCTGACTCGTTGAGATGTTTCTGTGGAAAACATGCTCATATATCACAGGTGAATTTTTCTACTGTCATTTAGGAGAGAAAAAAAGCCCTGGGTGTAGGAGGCATCTGATTCAGTTTTTAATACCTTTTAAGTCGTGTAAAACTGCATGTTGTCTACCTTAGCTTCCTGAAATTTTATTTCCAGGAAAGATAAAAGCTTTTGCAAGTTTTACTTATTTTGCAACTTCAAAACCAGATTTGTATTTTAAGAAATATGCTTAGTTGACATTGCCAGTGCCCTCAATCCAGGTTGGAGTATACTGAAGAGAAATACCAACATGCTTTTCAATGGGAAACATAAGCGTGAAGCTTTGCATCAGGTCCGGATGCTAAATACGACTTGCTTGCCTTGCGCTTGCTTTCATTGGGAGTGAGTAAAGCAAACAGGATTTCTTCCTTTGCATATAAGCATGTTGGTAGCATAAACTTATCAGCAGTTTAAAGCTGTTTAGTCGATTGAGTGATGCAAGAAAAAATGCACTGAAGGGGCCTGAACTGAGGAAAGGAAATTCAAGAAACAGCAGAAGAGCTTGGGATGTGACACAGCGTCTTTCTCAAGTGGGCTCTGAGCACTAGTTGTCACTGAATGCTTTTAGAAAGCCCGGCCTTACTGTGGCCCAGCGAGATAATTTTGGGTAGCTTTGCTGCTCGAGGAATTGTCCTTTGCCAAGCCCTGGCTGCAGTTTTGCATTTTCAGTTTAGGACTCAATTTCGAGGAGAACATACCTGCTGCAACAAAAAGAATCCCAGCGCTGAGAATAATGTTGTTTTTGCTATTGTAAATCCTCCCCGCTCCGACACAAAGTCCTCCCAGCAACAGTAATATTGTGCTTAGGATGGGGAACACGCTGGAGGCACGGACAATGCCTGAGGGGGAGAGAAACAGAAAAACAAGACAGGTAGTGATCATTTCAGATGCCTCCCCGGGTGCCAGTGTGGAGATTACAAGGTAAACTTTCCAAAGGGGACCCAGGGTCTTGCTGGAATTGTCACCAGGTGTGAACTTCTAGGCAGATTTTGTTGAGACCAAGGCTGTGAGTGGGTAGTTGTAGCTAACGTGATAGGGATAAAGCAGCCGTGGCTGCACTTGCTTCTCCTTCAAGAGGCTTAAATCTTTGGTGCTTTCTCCTAGGAGGCCCCAATCGACATATGGGACACGTCTGACCAAGCACAGCTAAGAGAGGGCAAAAGACATCGTCACGCAGGGAGCAGCACTGAAAACTGCAGCGCGTTGAGCTGTGCACAAGGTGAGCAAATTGTAGCTTATAGAATCTAGTGCTTATGTTACCGGCTAGCACAGCCTATAATGCTTTTTCTCTCAGTGAATATTGAAGATATTGAGGCCTCTCCACATTCTGCAGAAGATGTTTTAACGAGTGTAGCTCAGATGTTTGTGTTCCGTTTCCTGACAGCTAAGTGGAATCATTTACAATTCTGTGTGTTTCAGTCCATTCATCAACATAAAATCCCTGAAAAAAAAAATTCAAGATACTACTTCAAGCCAGCCTTCAAAATTGGGTCACTGACAGGCTAAGAAGCAATCAAAAGGGAAGCCAAAAGGAGGAAATTGAAAGGATGCAGGAAAAATAAACAGGCAGAAGGGAGAAGAAGACAGTGTAGAAGCAAAAGGGGTCAACTTGGTATTTCCTGAAAGGGCTGTAGAGGAACTAAGTTATATTGTTATATATATATATGGAGAGGCTTCTTTGCGGAAGGGGAGATAAAATGTAGAATATAATTGTAGAAAACCAGATTTGCCCCCGTAAAAAGAGGGGGACAGGAGAGTGGGATGGAGGCAAGCGGGGCCAGGGATGTTGCAGGCTGTTGGAGGCAGAGCTTCGTCCCCAGCACCCTGGGGAGAGCGTGGGACCCTTAGGACCCATGAAGAGGAGAAAACCACCATCTGGCCCAGTTCGCTGAGACGGAGCCGTTAATGGCATGGTCCCTCCTGGGTGCCATCCTGCTGTGTGCCAGGCACAGCGAGCGGCGCTCGTTGTGCACAGAGAAGTGGCCAGATGTTGTAGCTGGTGTTTTCTCGCTCTGCGTTTGATGGCAGTGGTTGAAGTGCCATCTAACCTGGCTATTTACCAGGGCCACTGGCTGCACAAGGGCCAGGAGTGGGTGTTTAGCACCAGCATCGCTCTTGCACATGCTGCAGCCCCCCGGGACCCACATTCTGTACCCAGGCCCCGTCAGGCTGCTGTAACACACATAAACACCAGGAGCCCCCAAATCACTGGCTGCTTTTTAGTGACCTGAAAAAGCAGCACAGGCTTTAAAACTACAGCGGCCTTCTGTGTTTTGTATTTTTCATATTTTATATTCATGCTGTTTATAATGGGCTCAATTAAATTTAAAAGCTTTCCTAAAATGCTTTAGTTGTATTATTAGAAGGACCTTGCTAGACACGCCAAATATACAGTGTGGGTTGCTCTACTTCTAGTAATAAGCTCCAGAGATAATTTTTCTTTATTAGGTAATTAATGTGAAGAGAGACAAAACATATGGTTTTGTCTTCCTATGCAACAGTACAGGGCTTTTCCCTAAAATACATACTTTTAGCTCTGAAATGTAAAAGGCTGCTCATATGTAACATGTAGAATTTAAATATGTCTCCTGATACTGGTAATAAAATGACAGCATATCAAAAAATATTAAGAGACTCTGGTTTCTGTTTTCTCTCCCACTTTTTTTTTCTTGTTTACCGTCCTGTCTGCTTGCATAGGCTGTTGTGCACCACGATCTGTTCTGACACCTCCTTTCGTGAAGAAGCTGCAGCATCTGAGCTGCTCCTCCCCACGGGGCTGAGCGCGCCGGCTTTCGCCTCGCCTTTCATTCCCTTCGGAAAGGCAGGAGGTAAGAGATCATACGGGCTCAGCTTTGAAAACATGGATGCTACCAAGCCCTGGGAATAGGGGCACGAAACTGCAGAAATGCCCCTGGAAATGGGGGCCCTGCTCCTCCTCCTCACACTGTGCTCTTGTGCCGTGACAGACCCCCCATGTCCTCACATAACTCACTGCCCGAGTGAGCAATGGCAATAAGAGCAGCTTACATCTTATTGGCCGCAAAGGGAGATGTACAAGTGCTTTGATGCGGTGCTGGACGGGGACAGCTGGATTTCTGTTGCAGAAATGCGAGAGAGGAGCCCCTGCATCACCCCGCGTGTGTGCAGCGGGGAGGTGGCAGCCCCTGCGCTAACACATGAAAGGGATTTTTTTGGTTTAAGGCGTGCATGGAGTGGAGCGCGTTATCGTTGGGGAAGACTGAATAGGAGGGGTCTTGGATAAGCTTCTTTGCACGTATTAGTAGTCACTGTGGCTGTCATTTGTGTGATTTTCCAGGAAGAAGCCTGAATGACAAACATGAAAATCCGGACTCTTGCTCATCCTGTGACCTAAGCCCCCTAAAAGCAATAATTTTTTTTCATTGATTTCGATAGGGTTTGAACCGGGGCTTGATTCCGCTGGAATTTTCTCCATGGAGTTTTCTCCATGACGCTTACATTTATTTGATGTCCGTATTAGGTTGGTAATTGTGGAGCAGGCTGAAATGTAAAAAATGCTACTTTCAGGAGGACAATATGCACAAAATGAGGCCATGTGGTGTCCTCACCTACAGAGCCCAGAATCTGCCTGCACAGAAACTAGTTTTTCCCTTTACCTGACATAATTAAAAACGATAAGGCCTATTCCCAACACATCCCTTCAAAACATTTGTGCCAAGAAATGGGTAAAAAGCGTGATAGATGATATGGAGGCAGCAGATTGCCAAGGTGTTGCAGAGAGGGCACGGAAGAGGAGCAGCATCTCAGATCTCCTTTTAAGCGGGTTGAAAACATTCCATGTTTGTGTCTAGCTAGCTCATCATTCAGTCCCCATTACAGATGTGTATGAGCTCTTTACTGCTGGAGTTAGAGACATAACCTTTCAGTAATCTCTACTATCAGCTGCCTGCATTTTAAGTAGAACTGTGCTTTTTTTCTCGTAAAAGTTAAAGAAGGAGAGTCCTGTTTTCTGTACAGGCTATGAAAGGATAAGCTATCCTTTGTGGTGGGGAGCAGCTGAATTCTGATTTTGCAGAACTCATAAAGGCTTGAACCAAATTATTTTTCAGATCTGGATTTAGTCACTTTGGAAAATAGACTTTAGGATCATTAGTCACAAGAATACTTGCAATTTACCCCCTGCACTTGGATAGCGTGAAATCGCTGTCTTACTGAGGAGCTCTATGCTGTTTTCCCCAGATTCTCCCCTTTCTCCAAATAAAGAAGGCATAATATACACTTATCAAGATCCTACTTAATTGCTCTTTCACTTACAGTCCTTTACTAAAGATATTTCTTTCCTAAAGCTGACTTGGTATCAATTTAACATTAGTTCCAACCGTTTGCATGAAAGATAAATGCATCCGTGCTCACACTCTGCTATTTTGCCTTAGACTGAGCACTGAAATCATGTCACACAAGCACTATGACTGATCTAAATTGACAAGAGAAACGATGAAAAAATACCTAGGTTTTCTCGTAACTGTAACTTTCTAAGAGATTTTTTTTTCCTTCTATCTTAGCAAACAGAAGCTGTTTCCCAGAAATGAGCAGAAGGACAAAGTGGTTTTCTAAGTGTTTTGTTATTTTTTTTTCCTCAGGTAATTAATAGGAGCATAATTGAACAGTATTTTGACCTGCTGTACGCATGAGCCAGCAGCCTCATTCACTGCTCCCTGAAGCTTTCCCCACACCTTGTGAACTGCAGTTCCTTTCCTTTGTAAAGGGCATTTCTTTTAGCTGTGCTGCTCTGCAAAAGCAACAGCTGGGTAAGGGATTCAGTGCAGAAGGATATAACACACATTCATGCTAAAACGTTACTGTTATCTGCAGAAATCTTACTTTCCTTCCCAAAATGCACAGATTTCACTGCATGGGGAGGTGTCCCAGCAGCTGCAATGGATGGGATGTGTTTCTCCTCTACAGTGATGTCCTTCAGGTCCCTCTTGGAGCAAATGACCAGATATGTTTTAGAGAATGGGCACCAGAATCGTGTGAATTGCCCTGGCTGGAGGAAAGTCATGACTTGTATTTTCTGCACTCTGAACCAGATATATGTTATGACTGCTCTTTGCACCTAGTTTGGGCTAATCTCTTGCAAGGAGTAAGAATTGGGTTTGACTTTACAGAAGAGGAAAAGGAAGACTTTCTGTCTACCTCTGTTAAGCCTGTGTATTATATATTACTTTTCAACTTACGGAGAAGGTATTCTGAGCTGTCATGGTCATAGTCATTATCTTCAGGAAAATGGTTGATTCGGAAGCAATGTCCTTTGTAGATTCCTAAATGAAAACAAAGCAAACAATACATATATAACAGAACCATGCAAATGAGCTTCTGCTAGCTTTCCTTCATTTCCTTTTCCTTCCAAGTTGCATAAGCAAATCATTTGCCTATAGGGTTGGTCTACATTATTTTTTATGCCATCAAGAAACCACTTCTTAGGTGATGAATTGCAGACAGTCTGGACTGAAGCCTTCCTCTAGGAAGAGAGCTAGGACTTGGATTCTTTTTCTTAACAGTGATACTAATACCATTATCTTCATTTTTTTTTAACCTCTCTGTGCTTTTCTTTATCAATGTAGTACTTATCTCAGAAGGATACTGAGTTTGCAAAGCTGCTTTTTGTTCCTACAGTGACTGTTGCTATGGGTTCCTGCTCCAGGGCTGGCGCTCTGGCTGTTACTACGGTAAACCCAGTGACTTTATAGTGCTTAACACCTCTCCTTTCTCATTCCCAGAGAAGTGTCGGGTTCCCTTATCAGAGATGCTGAATGTTTTGCTGTTTGAGGCTTCTTCAATTACTCTCCAGGCCTGGAAAACAAGTCTGTAAAAATATTGTTGTTGTAATTTAAACCCCTATGTTCCCTTTCAATTTTGGTTCAGTTTTGTTGGACGTATATATTCATTTAACCATAAACCTGTGCAATAAATCACAAGCATGAGCAAAGCCAGGCTGGACACATTGGTTCAGCACTCTGTCCACCTGGGTAAAGACTTACGTTACTATTTTGCATTATTTTATATCATGATTATACATCTAGTCTCAGCTGCAACGTGATCACCGAGACCACAGGCACAGCAAGCTACGTGGGGACGCAAGGATTTCTATCCAGGGAGCTGCCTGTGGGAGTGAAGCCCTGAGGTGTGAGTGTGCCTTGGTGCTTTCATTATTCATTAACCAGGGCTTTCATGCTCAGGAACAGATATCAGCCAGGATGAGCTCTCTTCTGCACGGGAGTATTTGGTGCTTACAGTTCTAGCTGACAGAAGGATTTAAAAATCATCGGTTAATGCTACTTTCACAGAAGCCCAGCTGCAGTCTGTAGGATATAGCTGTGGATTTATTTTACTATCTATTACTGATGATTACAAAGATCTTCTCAGAAGCATTCCTAATCCATAAGATTTCAATCGCACCCAGTGAGCGTCAATCACAGGTCTGCCACTACAGTGCATTTAATTCTTGCAGTAAATGATGGATCTGTTCCATGATAACAGCTCGGGCTTTCTCTGCACAGCATTTCAGAGACTGTGCAAGACAAACAAGTGGCTCGTGCAGCATGGGTCGTGCAGACACCTGCACTGTCTGCAGGGCAGGCAGGAGCCCTTCAGTTCGGACCTGCTGCTGCACACATTTGCCCCCACAGCCCTTTGGTTGCCCTCGGCTGCTTTGCTGCTCCTCGTGGCTCTTGAGCAGAGCAACCCAAAATGCAGATTTCACAGATCCCAGCACTTATTTTTATGGCATTTCGCACAATGGATGTAAATCTCTCCCAGCATAACTGGGCCTCTGAGAGTGGGATGGTCATTTCTGTGCAGGTCTTCATCGTGGTACGGCAATTTAGAGGAACTATATTTAGAGGATGCTTTTTCTTCCTATTCATTAAAGAAAAATCTACATAGTTTTCTTGTAATTTCCTGTGGAAATAGGCTTGTCAATGACACCGTGCTCGTGTGGATATCGATGGGGTGAGCTCTCAGTCTGCATGGCCTTCCTTCCACAGTACGATTTAAAGCAGATGACTAATTTTATTGCAATGTTCTGTTTGAAAAACAGAAATATAAGAGATAACTGTGATCTCACAAGTTCCCTGAAACTGTACAGTTGCCAAAAGGAGAGTGGACTCTCCACCTAAGACTGCTTTGCAAACCTGCACGGTATTTAATACCAGAGCACGGCACAGACAAGAGCCCAAATAGCTCCTGCTCTAGCATGTAAAGTAGATAGAAAAGGGATAAAAGCCATGGGATAGAGGTGGCAGAAAAGGGAATGCCTCATATTTGGCTTCAATAACAAATATTCTCCAGGATCTGCCCAATACCTGCAGACCTTACAGGTCTTCTGAAGGGCTGTGTTCAAACGGGGCTACTGCTCCGTGCTCAGGAAAGGCTCCCATGGACCCACCACACCAGGACGTGGAGGAGAAGAGATTTTTTTCCTTCTTTGAGAACAGGGATAGTCTCTTATACAGTTGGGAGATGGAGTATTTACCTAGTACTGCTCTATCCACTAGGGAGAGATAAATAAACTGCAATCACTGCCTAACAGATACTAAAACACTGAAAAGCACTTCTGGCTACCTCCTGAGATTAAGATCTAATATCCCAGTGAGATGCTGTTAAGTGCTACTTCTTTTTTTGAATGATTACTGATATATTTTAAATGTTTTTAGAAATGCAAATATTATAATGCTTTTTTTCCCCATAATTTCATTCTGAATTTTGAGCAAGGTCTACAGGATTTGGGTTAGCGATAATGAAGAGGAAAATTTGCTAAGGTGGTCCTGATATTGTAAGAAAAGAGACTTGCTGCTTTCTTTCTTGCTGCTTGGTCTTTGCTGGTCCTTAGAAACTAAAACTGCTTTGTTAGTCTGTGCTTCCCTCCTTGTCCAAACTTGTCACCTACAAGGTTAGCACTTCCCAACCCCACTAAGTGTTGTTCAGATAACTATAATTAGAGTGTGACATAGTCAGATAATGTGGTAAGGGGAGGCATGTAGTGCCTAAGTCAACATTAAGCTTTGCTTTTTTGTTTGGGCTATCAGAGAACACAGGGGTTTTTAATGGTAAATCAAATTAGTGATGACAGTTCTGGTCACATACTGCCTCCCCCTTACTCTCGCTCAGATAATCCTTTAATTAAGGCAGGATTGTGCACGGTGGCTCTATTTTGTGACCAGTGAGAAGGGGTTAATGCTATGGGACGCCAGCTCTGCTTACCCCTGTTTGTGAACGTGCACTGAGCACATATATCATTGCTGGCCACTCCATCAGGCCATTTCTTTCAAATAGCTATTTCTTTCAAATGGCTGTTTCCCATGGTTAGTATTTAGTTCCCTGATGCACCCAGAGTGTTTTCACAAATGTTTTCAGTGCTGGAAGATAAGAACCTTTCAATATGTGATGATATTTGTCAAGGCAAGCTTTGCTTTTGTTTCCTCCCTCCTCCCCATAATTCTGCAACCTACATGCAACACGATCTTTCCATAGCATTAGTGTTGTGTTGTCATTTAAAATAGGTTTCCACCATGCAAGATGCTAGCAGCTTTACAGCAGAGGACCTTGTCTGCGGGGTACTTCTGTCAATAGCGATTTCTGTCTCTCTGCTCAGAGCATGAGCTTACGGAAGGCGATATTTGATAGCAGTGGGAGACACATGAGGATAGAGGGTTCTAGCCGGTCTCCCTCAGTCCCCATCGACAGCTTCTGCAGAGCTCCTGCTTGATTAACCGTTTCCCCTACCAGCCTTCGTGCTGGTGAGAGTGAGCAGCAAAACCCCCCAGGCTGGGGCTTGTTTGAGGAGCCTTCCTGGCTTTCTCACAGGATGCTAAACATTTGCAGCCGCCTTGCGTTCCCTGCCAACACAACACATTCCTGCACTGAGCAGCACGGATACTTGGGACACACATGTGCTCACTATTTATAGAGGCGAGCGAGGCTTGCTCTGCAGGGGTGTGTGTGCATGGAATGAGTGCTATGAATGTCAGCCCCCAAGCGCTCCATGGCTCCACTAATTACCTGCAGGTAGGCAAACATGCAGGGCAGAGCTCCAGCCCAAAACCACACTGACCAGCTGCTTTCCTTTTACCAACTGCAGGTCTTCTGGGAAGACTTAAAGAAGTATAAGGAACAGATTTTAAAGGTCATTTTACAGCAAGTGTGCTCAGATACAAGCGATACAAGCTGGAAGGAGCTGACAGCATATTAAAAATAAGGCAATTAGTAAAGAAACAGAGGCGAGTTAGCCCACTGCTTCTGCGCGTTGCATCTCTGCTGAATTCTGCGCTCTTGTTCTGGAGCAAAGAGCAGCAGGATTTGTTGCTAACGCTTGAATGTCTGAATGTTTAAATGACAACTTTGCTGAATTTATCAGCACTGAGAGGGCTGAGTGATGGATAACATCCCAGGCAACCTGCAGAAGAGCTGCATTCATGGAAGTTGACTGAGCGTGGTGGCTGTCTAACCAAACCCATATGTGGACCGAATTTCCTTAATGGCAGGGCTTTGCATTTCCCTTTGACAAAAATGAAGAATCTCTATTTATAGTGAGTGAGAGTGTGTCAGAGCTGGACTCTGTTGGAGGAGCAGAGAGACAGGTTTTTTTTATATATATATATTTTTTTTGCTTAGGAAGATTTCTGTGCTGACAAGTTCTGAAGTCTCTTGCAGTGTGATTTGAGCTGCAGTGAGCAAAGGAGATCAGACATGCCAGAAAATGTTGCTCTCCACAAAATTCACAGCGCTGAGTCTATCTGCGCACCACGTTCTTTGCCTTTTCAGCAGTAAAACTACACTATCTCAGTGGATTGACACAACAGCGAATGGAGCCACTAAGTTAACTTTTCCCCCTTCATTCTTCTTGTCATAAAATAATGCTTGGAAAGAGGAATGGGTGATGTGCCAACCATCCATGATTTCCTTCCAAAATTTGCTCCCTGGCGCTGATGGTCAAGCACAGGGCATTGCTGTTCAGAGCTCTCCACTCACACCATGAGGAACAGAATTAGATTTTTTTTCCTTTAACTTGGCACTTTCTACATTAATTTGTCCAGAGTTCGATTATTTCTCTCCTACCGAGCATTTCATAGACTTGGGCTTGACTTAGACAAGCAGGGCTCCTGTGAGCCTCTCCTAGAAGATCTCTAATGGTGTCATTAGGAGGGAAATCAGGCTCTATTGGATGCAGGCAGTGCGTGAAGCACTCCGCGTGCGAGCCAGCGGCTGCGACGCTGCCGTCACCGTCACGGCGAGCGCAGCACAAACCCTCGGGAGGTTAAAG